ACTAACGTTGTCTGATAGTAGCCTGTCCTTGTTCCATCCATTGTTACATGCCACTGTTCATATGAATGGAAACCGTCTAGTTTTCCCGTTTATGACGATAATAATACTGGGATGGTCGTGTTACTTCCAGGGAAGACAAATTGTGCATTCATTCAAGAACACTGGCAATGGCCAACAAAAAATTAAAAAGGTGCAAACTTACAAAACTGCTGCACAGAATAAAGATTGAATCAGTGCAAGTGGTACTTTTAAATTCTAATATCCTGTGGACGTTGTCATTGAAATAAATCACTCATAAAGCGTATTTTATCGCCTTTAATATTGTACGTTTATCTTATTGAAGGTAATTGAGCATACTTTCAGTGAGACATTGTTGGCTGTGATTTTATTAAAAACGAGGTCTGTCCAGATAAAACTGCAGGATTCCTTCAAGCGCACTTTAAGTCGACGATTTTTTACGCAAAAATTACTGAACGTGAATAGGTCTAAATAAAATTAAGCACATAAACACATATAGTCTGGTGTAACATATAAGTACATAGATACAATTAATTTATCCTGGGAACGCGTGCGGGTTGACATTTTATACACACAAGTGCGCAGTATTTACCCGTAATTATGAGCACCATGGATTATGGAGACTAACATAGAAGTTGTAGGTAAACGCGTTGCTAACAAGCACAGCAATTAACGGCAGCACATGTGTACATACAAAATGTACGCAGGGTTGCACTTGTATGGAACGTGGGAACGTCTGAGCAAATATTTATGCAAGACCTATTAGGTACTACATGTTATATCTGATTGTAATGTGAGTAAGATTATCACACAAGTACTACAAAGTTGTTGAATAAGATAACAGAAATGCTTACTTTTCTATCCATTCGGAAAAAGCCATCTAACTATACACAAACACCAAAACAAATGATTTACTAGAATCCCTTGGACAGCTGCAATAACATGTATATTTATTTACTGTTTGCAAAGCAATTAATTCTGAATTAGATAGTAAACCATTACGACATAAGGTCACAATTTGTTTGCACATAATAGGTAGGTTTACTATATGCAGTATGACTGAGTACATACTGTACCTAGTTACTTCAAACTGACAGCTTATCATTAAAGTCGTTTTCCTTATTAACGTGTTCCCGTTTCGATGCGGAAATGCAATGATACAATCAATTACATAATTTTATCCTTTTTTATTGAGGACACTTAGAACGTAAAACTACGTATGCGTAATGGTAAGTAATACTTACCACAACAAAGTAAAAAGACGATTCTTTGGCTGATAAAAACATGAAATTCATGAACGTAAATGTTGGAGAGGATAATTGTAGTCGTCGGTATGTCTGGTAGTTTTCTGGCAAAAACTAGTGAATGGATTTCGATCAGATTTGGCATACAGATAGACTAAAAGATGATTATTCATAGGCTACTCGTACTCGCTTCAGTAAAGCTGCGGGCGCTGCGCTATGTTATAGTTCAGTATTGTTTCACAACTTAATTCAAATCTAGATTTCTATAACAAAAGAAGTTCAGCATAAGCAGACGAAAATGGCACCTATTTTATTCCGTGTGATTATGCTGTTCACGACTTGGGTCTCAGTACTGCGACCTTGTTAAACTTTCTTGCAGTGCGAACAGTTACTGGTGAATAGGGAGGTGGGCCTCTTTTCAAATGTCATAGAGCTAATTTATTATCTGTAGTTCATTATAAACGTAATGTTGCTATTGTTTGCTGATTGTATACAAAAAGTAAGGCTCCATATAGACGTAATAAGTTGTAATGTTCATTTATTAGGTATGTAGGTGCCTTATTAGACTTTAATATGTTTTTATAGCATATCTATCTTAGATTGTAAGCACCAACAAGATAGGTCTAACAGAATTAAACCTGCTTCCGCGCTGTTCCACATAGAGTGGAGTAAGTAAGTGCCTCAGAGATATAGAAAGGACGAAAAAGACCAAGTACAAACAAATGTATAGCAATGGCGACGTTGTGGCTGTGCTTGCGCAACTCGGTTGCGTCAGGGCACTGCTCTGTGGGCCTCGTGCTCTGTTACCGCGAACTTAGAAACGGTACCCATGTACTGAGATATCAGTGAATCGACCCTATTACTATTACTAAAGGAATATATATTTCTCTGTGTTTTTGTAAATTAAGTCCGAAGCTCTGGTTACTTTGGCATTTAAATGGCAACGGGTTATTGGATTAAATCTTATAGAGAACAGATCTATTTTCATACACGCCGCTGCAACAACATGGTGTTATCCCCTTATAGGTATTATAATACCCTTAAATATGTCATCCGTTTCTCGTAAATAAACAACTTTAGAAGTCAACCTAATTTATTTACGGCAAGACGTGTCGTAGGGTCATCGTGCAAAGTGTAACAATGAAAATGAATACATCGCACATCCGACCCTGCTGACAATAACAAACGTGATGATGCGCAGCTAACCGAATTAATGAATTAACACGAATTAGCTCCATCATCTGGGTCAAGATTACACGGTGCGTGCAAATATCAGTTTGTGCGAGTACACAATTCATAAACAGACATCAATAAAAATAAACAACGATTTGAAGCCCCAATAACTAGTTATTATTTCCCTAAACCCTACCCAATAACTAGGTCCATCTCTGGTTAATTACCGTACTTGAAATGAACTTGTTCTTAATTTTGTATTTAAGTAGTTTAAATTATAACAAGGGCAAGGTAGTGACAGGCATATTGCATAAAACAAAAAAGTATTAAAGAAGTCAGTCTGCTGGCAAGTGGTGCACATTCTGCACCCGCGCCTACGTCTCGACACGGAAGCACATACTGACCTAGTATACTTCTCTGCTTGGCTTGCAATGCAAATGTATTGTATGGTTAATAAACTCAACAATTGTGTTGAGGTTTGAAATTTAAATTCTAAATGGCTTGTTTGTAAGCGTCATAGGACCGCACATGTAGTTCAAACAGTCAATAGCATTTGAGCTTGGACGTGATTAAGAAAACCTTTTCGAAACTATCGAATTATTTGGTATCAAGTGATATGGTGGACTACCGGTACCTTAGTATGCATAGTGGCGAATATCAGTTTTGCTGCGCTAATGATAATAATTGATAGCAGGTGAAGAGATGCGGATAAATACAACTCAGTACCAGAATATTTAATGGAAAAAATAAGGAAAAAAAATCGAAGAAGTTTAGTATATTCAGATAAACCCTACTATCCTACTTCCTACTAATATTATAAATGCAAAAGTATGTGTGTGTGTGTGTGTGTGTTTGTTACTCTCATGTCAAAACAGCTGAGGGGATTGAGATGAAATTTGGAACAGGAGTTGATATTGTCTGGAATAAGAAATAGGCCACTTTTATCCCACGGGAACATGGGCGAAGCCACTGGCAGAAGCTAGTTAAGTATAAATAAGAAAACAATTCTTTGAAAGCGCTCAGAGCTGTGCTGTGTCACTATGGAAAATTAACTAGATAATTACTTGATGAACATAATTAAAAAATTATATCTATTAGATCTGATGTACTAACATAACATTATGGAAGAGAAATAAGATTAGTGTTGAGGATTTATATTTCTTTTAGGTTGACTTCTGGCAACTTTTAAATATAGAAACACCAAAGAGAAATAAATATGAAGTGTTAGCTAGCTAGCTAGCTTATTCATAGTTTTATAACATAGTTTACTCCCAAAAAATAGTCACAAACATAATCTACCTTTAATCAGATAGCTCAAAATGAATGAAGCACTGGTTTTAGGTTTGATAAATGATATATTCCGCAGAGGGAGAACTTTACCATTCATTACTTATGAACCATAAATAATGCAAAAATTTAATTACAAATTGTCTAGTAGGTAATCTAATTATAATATTTTCAGTGTTTAACATGGCTTCATAAGATTCATACAATTGTATGGTAAAAGAGTAATCTGACTCCTTACAGGTGCATGTCTCAAAAACCATTTTTTAAAGTTGAGAGAAAGCCGTAGTTAGCTACTCTCAGTCCATTTCCAGTAGGTAAAAATAAACATTGTAGAATGCTACATGGAGAGCTAGGCAAACTAAAATAGACAAAATGTATTACATATTACAAACTGACCAAAATAACTGCAGAAATGTTTACTGTGTTCAGCACCATGTACCGAAATTTTTTCTTTTAGATAATAGTTAAATGCAAAATTGACACCCATTATATCACATAGTAAATAGCCAACACAGATATAATAGCCAAAATCAAATTGTTTCAAAGGTGGAGTAGAGATGATATCTCCATCAATAATAATCAAGGAATCTGTGAAGGTGAAAGCTGATACAATTATTTATTGTAAAGAAAGAATTAGTATGACTAATGATTAGTAATGATGTGTTTTCTATAGGTGTTTGTGTCTCCACAACAATACTCTGAGTTATAAGAGCTCTATGTATTCATAGAAAAAAAAGTAAATAGAAGTAGGTACCTACCTATACTATAGAAGTGTTTTTATCTAAGTATTGCTTATACATTGGGCTTACTTCTATTTTTTAGTGTAGAATATAAAAAATAGCAGACGTCAAATTGCGTAAGGCTATACAAAATATCAAATTACTCCAAATCTGCTAAAAGAAAAAACAAACCGAATATAGGCAACACTACATACAGCACTCAGCAAACGAGTGTGGTGTATTGTTATAAAACCAAAGCAGTTGTCAACTCAGCTGTCTGTGTACTAAAAACAGGCCGAGAAAAATAAATTATTCGTTATTTTGCGGGGCTAATGAGTCTGCGTAATGCAAGCTACTGTTTCATAATTTACAGCATGCATCCATGATAAGTATTGGATAGGTACTGCCACCTGGACCACCTAATAATAGAATCGAAATGTTCACTCCAAAAGCAAATCAATATAGAAAAGTCGATCAAAGGATGGCTACACCGTAGACCGTGTGTTACAAAAATATTTCAGTATCAATATTTAAGATCAATCGCAATGATTCTACTTACGTTCCGCAATATGTAGTTGTCGTATTGGTGAAATGCGCACGGGTAAAACACGAAGTCTCCCGTTTAATCCTTTGTGAAAGGAGTCCGTCAGACGCACAAAATTTTCTTTGACACTATTTTTTGATCCGCAGATGGTAGAAGAATCACTTATTATATCGAGTACGAATAACAATATTGGTTGCACTGGTCAATAAATTTTCTAACAAAATAACTCTAAATAAATCGTCGTACTAACACAACTCACGAAATCGAACACGGATTCTCAATCGCTGACTGGCTGATGTTGGCTGGTTTGCGTGACATGAAGTTGGCAACAAATGAAAAGCAAAACATCATCATAAAAACAGCTGTTTCTCGAGTCAAACGACATCTATCCTAAGAAGTTTGACACGATAATCTTGTTTATTTTATGATAACAGATGTCGCTACTATTTATCTTAAACAGCGAAGTCGTTAAGCTATGTAGCGGTACACATGATTTTACATAAATCTAATAGATGGCACTATTCTAATTAAGTAATTTCATTTAATATAAAGATTTTATTAAAATAATCAGGTATTAAAAATAAAACAATTCTATTTTGAGTTGATAATTTATTTCGGCAAATCTTGAAGTACTTTTTTGACAGTAGTAATTTATCAAAAACATGAAAATATTGAATCATTTAATATGATATCGCTAATTTTAATATTAGAATCGGTCAAGTAAACATAAAAAAGCATTGTAAAACACTTTAAAAGTACTCAAAAAAGGGCCCCTCCGGGATTTGAACCCGGGACCTCCTGCACCCAAAGCAGGAATCATACCCCTAGACCAAGAGGCCGCTTATGTGTCAGTACGAAAATACAATACATAAGTATAGATGGAGTTATTTTCGTTGCCTCGAGACGAGAAAGTGAAAATAGTCATCACCACTACCTTCGTTGAGTTGAAGTTATAGATGGATAAGGTGGTAAATACTTACAATCTGACGTAATTTGTCTTTGTATTACTCACAGTTCCAAAAGATAACAGGTAAAAACATAGATCGGTAACTAATAACTCCTGCATTCAATCTTACGATTTCCAACTCTAACTTGACACTTTTAGTAATTAAAGTGAATTAAAACGACTATTTACAGAAATAAACCTGTCTTCCATCTGTTACTTTATTCATGAAAGAGCTTTGAATGAGACAAATCAATAAGCGGGACACGTAGCGCCATCCGATGCATGTGGCATGCACTTTTCAATGGTTCGTAGGAACAAGACCTAACTGAAGTTAGGCGCTGAACCTTTGGAACCTAAGTACTTTTTGTACCTTAAGTACTTACGCAGTTAGTTCGTTGCTTAAGGGACAGGTGGCACTCAAACCGGGAGAGTAACTTTATGAATGGTTATGAAAAAATATCTGTAATATGAATATTCGTAAATATGGATGTCATTTAATAATGATGTTGTAGTTTATCGGTGTTACCTTGTAAATTGATTTGTAGCGGTAGTGTATATTGCAGAAATAAATAAGTACGGAGTGGTTGAAGATTACCTCTGATATAATGTTTTCCGAATAAAAATACGTAAGACGACGATTTCAGAGTATCATTTCATCCCCACGTGTAAAATATTATGAACTTATTTTATCTTCAAAAAATTGAAGTATATTTTGTTATTTTAAGCATTTTGGTAATGAGTAGACAAATAAACGATGTCTGAATTATTTCGACAATCTGTCTACGATTTCCTAATGAATACGTAGCCTACCTAGGCATATTCTTAGTTGTGTAATTATGCTGTCTCACTTTAAATTCTTTCTTCGGATCACAAATTTGCCTTCTGGGTTTTTCTGTTGTGAAATAAACAGTAGTTCTTAGAATAAACTTTCTCACACTTGAACCTATTGTAGTCTTGACTTGAAGACGATACCTATATTACGTTGAATCGGTTAGGTAGGTCCAGCTAGGTCAGGTAGCTTTTTATTTTATTAATATTTAGAAACAAAAAACAGTCTTTTTTGCGTTGTGTTGCTCTATACAGATTTACCTACTAAGATTTTATCGTGTAAGTATTGTGGATGCGTTTAGCAAGGCGCAGACAGAGTTGCATTGTATATATAATACATATGACAATACCCTTTTAATTAAATTATTTTTGATAGATTTACGCTTTTAATTAGATTTGCACAAATACAGTTTAATGAACTGAGTGCTAAGTCAAAGTCAAAGCATTTATTTCAGTAAAAACCATAATTTGGTACTTTTGAAACGTCAACAGATACAAAATAAATAAGGTCTGTCAGTCAGTTCATCAGTGAAGATAAGCGAATCTAGGAGCTAAGACTTCAATTCAATTACATACGCTATGACACATCACAGTAAAGTTACTCAATTTTTAACTACGAGTTTGAAATTTTCCCGCCATCTATATATGTACGAGCATGTGTTAGATTGTTCGTACATACATAGATACCGACAATGGTTTACGTTGGCACATTTATGTAGTCCAATAACGACCTGACTACTAATCAGCTCTCCATGTAATTTGGTAAGTTAGAAGTGGAGACCATTTGTGATTGTCTTTTTTATTTTTATAAGTACCTAGGTACACATTAAGTATTCAATATTGAACTTCTCCAGGTTTTAGGTTATACTCTTGGAACTTGGAAGACGGATCGTAGTTTGAAAGGCTTAGTTTTATCAAAGAACAATGCTGCCTGGTCATTTCTATTGTGTTTGGTGGTGAAAATATATGTGTTAAAATGTGTTAGCAATAAAAATTATAAACTACGTTAAAAAACCGACTTTTTTAAAGTTAAGTTATTAATATTATTAAAACCTCCTAAGTGTAACAAACACTTTACACTTCTGAAGACCGCATCGAAATCGTTTCGGTGAATTGCAAGATAATCGCGCACACACATGTATATATCTAAACCCACAGAAATATTAAAAAAGAAATACTTACTTAGAAATACTTCTTTATTATATCTGTGTGTATACCTACCATACATACAGGTCGAACTGAGAACAACATTTTTTTTCTTTTCTTCTCTTCTTATGGTGCCACCGCATTCCTAAGGTTGGCCGTCAACTTTTTGAATTGGTCCTTGTCATTGGCTAGGCGGAAAAGTAGTTCCACAGAGCTGATACCAGTCCACTCCCGAATATTGCGCAGCCACGACTTTATCCTTTGCCCAGCGCTTTTCTTCCTTTCCACCTTACCCATCATTATAAGATGAAGCAGCATGTATTTTTCTTTTGAAGTCGGTTAATTACAAAAGAAACAGTACTTTAGCACGAATCACAAATTCTTCCTATTGAAGTTCGATTATTTACCCAATTGCTATGCTATGTCTATTCCCATAAATATCTGACCCTGTTCGGATTCACACGCCATTTATTATTACCCATTCATGCCAAGCCCTAATGCACTAAAACCGTAACTTCGTTTCCTTTTATCTGTCTATTATTATTAAGAGAAATATTATGTAATATTTGGTTTTTACTTATTTTATAGTTTGTAAATAGATTTCAAGTTAACTTTTGTTAGCAGTCGTATATCGTGCTTCTGCTAAGGAACTATTAAAGGTAGGTATGTGTGATTTGTACGTGAGAATATAAAATCTGAAACATATTCAGACACACAATACACCATACACTCATATACACCACGTTTCATATCCAAATTATCTATTTATTTATTTATTTATTTTATTTATTATTACAGTCACAACGGTTGAGAACAAAAACCAATTAAAGTAACTGGACACATTAATAAAATTAACAATCAAACAATAAAACTGGAACAAAACATATACAATGAACCAGAAGAGTAAAACTTATTTAAAAAAAAAAAAAATGGTACCATTCATAAGTTCCTCTCGCAGTACTTCAGGCATTCCGATAAAATCTCCTTCCATCCGTCCGCAAACAGATCACTAGTTGGATTGGAATCCAAGAGACCATTGAGCGCGGCCAGAGTGCGAGGAATCGGTGCTTTAGCACGTGCTACGGTACGACATGAGGGTACGGCAAACAATCTGTGCTTTTTACCCCGGCAGTAATTGTCTGGAACGTAAAAACGTGATAGTGACTCCAGTATGTCTGGAGCGTCAATAGCGCCACGGAGGGTTTTACAGGCTACTACAAGTTGGTTTCTTGCTCTCCTTACCTCTAGTGAGTTATATCCAAGACTACCCAATAAAAATTTTGTCGGATAGAGGTAGGGATAGTAACCGTGCATTCGCTTGTACAAATTCCTAAGGAAAGCTTTTTGAACTTTCTCTAAGAGTAGGGCGTAGGTACTTTCGTGAGGATTCCATACACACGAGCTGGTTTCCAACTTACTACGAACCAGAGCATTAAATATGATCTTAATGGCATGAGCGGTGCGAAAATCACGACAATTACGCAATACAAAACCTAACCTTTGGAAGGATTGCTTTGCTATAGTGGTTATATGGTCATGGAAAGTAAGTTTTTGGTCAAATGTGACTCCCAGGTCTTTCATGACTGTCGACTTTGTAATACTGCAATTATTTAAACTGTAATCGAAGTTGATTGGGTTCCGCTTTCGACAAAATGTCATAGCATAGCACTTGGATGAGTTAAACTCCATCTTATTATCCACGCTCCACTTGTATACTGCATCAATATCTTGCTGAAGTGCCAAGCTATCACGCTCAGAGTTTATTTCTAAGTATAGTTTCAGATCATCCGCATATAAGAGGCACTTTGCATGGAGTAGAATTTGAGGAAGATCATTGACCATGATAAGAAACAGCAAAGGCCCCAAAATCGAGCCCTGACTTACACCAGAACGCGTATGATAGGCATCCGACACGTACATACCAAGTTTGACAAACTGTTTTCGATCGCGTAGATAGTCTGCAAAGAAATGTAAGAGAGATGGGGAAAACCCTATTTTATTAAGCTTCTCTAGCAGTGTGTCGTTATTTATTCTATCAAAGGCCTTCCGGAAGTCAAAGTAAAGTACATCTACCTGACGTCCCCGATCCAAACTAAATGAGATGTAGTCCACTAAAGTTAGGAGATTTGTATCGACTGACCTCTTGCTCCTAAAACCGTGCTGCTCGTTACAGAGATACTTGTTTACTTGTTCATAAACAATATTATGAAGGATGTTCTCAAAGACTTTTGCTGGGGTAGACAGGATTGCGATAGGGCGATATTCCTCAACAGAGCCCCTGTTTTGAGTTTTTGGAATAGGCGTAACCCTGGAAATTTTCCATTCGGTGGGATATATACCGGTCTGTAAAGCTAAATTAAAAATATGAAGCAGAGGATCAATGAAAATATTTCTTAGGTCTTTGACTATCTTGGGGGGGATGTTGTCAGGTCCAACAGAACTATGAAGTTTAAGTCTATTTATTCCCTTAATAATATCCGAACGGCGCA